ACCTAATGAATGAAGCTACAGAGAGGTACCTAATGAATGAAGCTACAGAGAGGTACCTAATGAATGAAGCTACAGAAAGGTACCTAATGAATGAAGCTACAGAAAGGTACCTAATAAATGAAGCTACAGAAAGGTACCTAATGAATGAAGCTATAGAAAGGTACCTAATTAGTGAAGTTACAGAAAGGGAGGAGAGTGATTTCTTGTATAACTAACATACGTGTAGCTAATTATTGTAAGCTGATCTCTTTTTAATGGTCATGTATGTCTCTATACTGATTTTCACACAGTTGAGTCATTTAGCTGTTTAAACTCAAATGTTAACATAATAATATGTTACAAGAAACCAATTGGAAATCAGTTACTTTGACTGGGTTATTTACGCTACGTATGATAAGTGTACTTATGTGTACCTGTACCTAAATAAACTTACATCCAAAAACATTAACATCGCTTCCCGTCCAACCCGCCCACCCATTCATACTGCCACTACTGCCGCAGCCACCACCGCCCACCCATTCATACTGCCACTACTGCCGCAGCCACCACGCCCACCCATTCATACTGCACTACTGCCGCAGCCACCACCGCCACCCATTCATACTGCCACTACTGCCGCAGCCACCACCGCCCACCCATTCATACTGCCACTACTGCCGCAGCCACCACCGCCCACCCATTCATACTGCCACTACTGCCGCAGCCACCACCGCCCACCCATTCATACTGCCACTACTGCCGCAGCCACCACCGCCCACCCATCCATACTGCCACTACTGCCGCAGCCACCACCGCCCACCCATTCATACTGCCACTACTGCCGCAGCCACCACCGCCCACCCATTCATACTGCCACTACTGCTGCAGCCACCACCGCCCACCCATTCATACTGCCACTACTGCCGCAGCCACCACCGCCCACCCATTCATACTGCCACTACTGCCGCAGCCACCACCGCCCACCCATTCATACTGCCACTACTGCCGCAGCCACCACCGCCCACCCATTCATACTGCCACTACTGCCGCAGCCACCACCGCCCACCCATCCATACTGCCACTACATGCCGCAGCCACCACCGCCCACCCATTCATACTGCCACTACTGCCGCAGCCACCACCCCCACCCATTCATACTGCCACTACTGCCGAGCCACCACCGCCCACCCATCCATACTGCCACTACTACCGTAGCCACCACGCCCCCCATCCATACTCCCACTACTACCGCAGCCACCACCGCCCACCCATCCATACTGCCACTACTACCGTAGCCACCACCGCCCACCATCCATACTGCCACTATTGCCGCAGCCACCACCGCCCACCCATTCATACTGCCGCTACTGCCGCAGCACCACCGCCCACCCATTCATACTGCCACTACTGCCGCAGCCACCACCACCCCCATCCATACTGCCACTACTACCGTAGCCACACCGCCCACCATCCATACTGCCACTACTACCGCAGCCACCACCGCCCACCCATCCATACTGCCACTACTACCGTAGCCACCACCGCCCACCAATCCATACTGCCACTACTGCCGCAGCCACCACCGCCCACCATTCATACTGCCACTACTGCCGCAGCCACCACCGCCACCCATCATACTGCCACTACTACCGTAGCCACCACCGCCACCAATTCATACTGCCACTACTACCGTAGCCACCACCGCCCACCCATCCATACTGCCACTATTGCCGCAGCCACCACCGCCCACCCATTCATACTGCCACTACTGCCGCAGCCACCACCGCCCACCCATCCATACTGCCACTACTGCCGCAGCCACCACCGCCCACCCATTCATACTGCCACTACTGCCGCAGCCACCACCGCCCACCCATCCATACTGCCACTACTACCGTAGCCACCACCGCCCACCCATCCATACTGCCACTACTACCGCAGCCACCACCGCCCACCCATCATACTGCCACTACTGCCGCAGCCACCACCGCCCACCCATTCATACTGCCACTACTAGCCGAGCCACCACCGCCCACCCATCCATACTGCCACTACTGCCGCAGCCACCACCGCCCACCCATCATACTGCCACTACTGCCGCAGCACCACCGCCCACCCATCCATACTGCCACTACTACGTAGCCACCACCCGCCCACCCATCCATACTGCCACTACTACCGTAGCCACCACCGCCCACCCATCCATACTGCCACTACTGCCGCAGCCACCACCGCCCACCCATCCATACTGCCACTACTGCCGCAGCCACCACCGCCCACCCATTCATACTGCCACTACTGCCGCAGCCACCACCGCCCACCCATCCATACTGCCACTACTGCCGCAGCCACCCCGCCCACCCATCCATACTGCCACTACTGCACGCAGCCACCACCGCCCACCCATTCCATACTGCCACTACTCCCGCAGCCACCACCGCCCACAATCCATACTGCCACTACTGCCGAGCCACCACCGCCCACCCATCCATACTGCCACTACTGCCGTAGCCACCACCGCCCACCCATCCATACTGCCACTACTGCCGCAGCCACCACCGCCACCCATCCATACTGCCACTACTGCCGCAGCCACCACCGCCCACCC